GGTGCACATCAGACTTGTGTTCTGAAATGACAGCCGACTGCTGTGTGAGGAGTGAGGGTAGCCAGCCCGGAGCGAAGGCAGGAAAACCAGAGAGAAGGCTCTGGCAGTAGGAGCCCACGGGAGATGCTGTAAAAGGAGAGGAACAGTGGATTGGAAAGTTATTTAGGGAAGAGAATAGACAGGAAATGGAGGCGGACTGGAATGTGTGTGCAGGGGAGAGGGCCAGGCAGGGATGACTCCCAGTTCCTGGTGACGAGTGGCAGGCACGGGTACACAGCTCTGCTGTTCTGGAAGGGTCATCCCTGTGTGTGAGGAGGGGCTGAATTTTCCCAGCTTAGCGAGTCCGAGGTGGAAAGGGGAGTATGAGCCCAGAAATACCCAGTAGGCTGTCCCTGATTATTCAGGTCTCCAGCTGGATATTATCATGCCAGAAATTGCCCTGCTTTATTGGGGTTCCCCTGTTCTGTTAAGGTTCCCCTGTCCAGTTGAATACTCTGCTCAGTCTTAAAGGGGAAGACTATTCCAGACTTCCAGACTCACCTCCATATCCTGATGGTGGGCTGAACGCCACATCAGTCTGACCGTCCCTGTGTTGGACCACAGAGGCAGCGTGACTGGTGCCAGTAATGGCACAAGGGGAATCGGCAGGGTCATGGTTGTAAGGGACAGTTCAGAGTTTAAAGCAATTATCATTAATCCTTCTTCTCTGTCTTCCTCACTACTTAAGAAGGGATTCTTCTTCCCCAGTTGTACTATTAATTTATTTGTCCCACCTAATGAATCCTTATTATGAACTAACATGAAAGTTTTTACATAAGGTATCTCATCTCGCCAGATCTCTGGCAAAATGGTTCCAACTGAGAGATGATATATCAGTTGTTCAAAGATCCGTTTACTGGGAACCAGCAGTTAGCGTAATGGCTATGTCGCTGGACTCCCACGTAGTCAACCGTGGTTCGTGTCCCGGACCCAGTGGCTTAAAACTCATGCCGGGCGCGTGTGCGTGCATGCCCAAGATCCCGAGAGGATAATGGAGGAGAAGGGATTGCGGCGTGACCATCCCCCCGGGGGGTGATTTCTCGCTTTCTGTCTCCGTGTCTCTCTCTGTCTGTCTGGCAAGCGCACGCACCCTATAGCGAAAAACCTCTCCAAAAAAAAAAAAAAAATCCATTTACTGCCACATTTCTTCTGATCCTAAAACGTACCTGGGCCAAGCAATATTAGAGAAAAACATTTTCTGTTTGGACATCGGGCTATAGCTTCAAGTGGGCTAGTCTGCTGAAATCTGCCCCAAAGGAGCCTGCGGTGGAACATTCTCAAACTCTCACAGACGTGGTGTCCTTCAAATCTCATCTCTTTTACTTCCTTCAAGTGGTACCTCTGATGGACAAATGTCTTCTGGCCAGTGTTCAAGTTGGCTGGCCAAAACAAGCAACCATCTCCCCTCAAACAAATGGCAAACGCCTGGACTGGCTCACAAGGAACTCAAATGATGGAGAACAGCACCCACTGAATGGCAGGTGCCCCAAATTGACCTTCCAGGAACCCAGATGGCAGAGACACAAAAAATCCCAGTGCACACCAGCAGTAGGATTTACCCGGGAGCAGATCTGAGCTTGGTCCCCAAAGGTCGTTTCTTCTAGCACCAACTACTAAAGAGCCCTTAAGGCAGCTAGAGCCTCTAGGGAGGACACAGAAGCCCAGTCTTGGAGATGAGGATGGCGCCAGCAGCTGCGAGGCGGCCCCTGGGAAACCCCAGGGCCAGCTAGCCCACCCACAGCTAGCTCAGACAACAGTCCATTTCGGGAAAGCCCCATCCAGGTCACTGACGGGTGCTCTGCTGTTGTAGGAGGAGGCCCTGTGCCCCTGGACATTTGAAGCAGGTCTGACCCTTGGCTGCTCAACAGGACTGGGAGAGGCCAAGTCCCTGAAGGGAAAGGCGAATGTGTTACAGCCTGGCCTCATCTAGTAGATACAGAAAAGTACCTCTGGTCAGCCAGTTTACAGGTGCCGTTATTGGCTAAGGAAGAGGCTGGGAGCTGGAGGTTACGTGCAGAAAAGCATAGGTTTGGGCCATTTTTAGCGTGGTCAAGCTGGGGCTACAATCCAGCAATTCGTCTTCAAGACAGTTTTAGTTCTCAGGGGTGAAATGTTCCCCATTATTTGGCGTTTCAGGTTGACGGTCCCACTCCTTGGAGACCCTAAGAGATCTCAAAGATTACGAAATTGAAAAGAAAGAGGGAAAAATTGGACTTAACAAAATGGAGTCAATCTAGCTAAAGCAGGCGTCTATCACAGGGGTAAGCCTTCCCCCCCTCTGCCCTGTTTCTGTCTTGCCCCTCAACCCCCGCCACGCTGGCCACGCAGCCCTCCTCGCAACGTGGAGGTGTTGGCTCCTAGCCCTGGTTGTCGCGTCTAAGGGCGAGGCGCAGCGGCCCACCCCTCCAGCCCTGACCCGCCTGGTCTGGCTCCCACCCCGCCCAGCGCGCTGCAAGGTGGGGCAGCAGCTCTGTCTAGTCCCAGAGCGGAGCGAGGAACCAGGGGCAGCGGGGTGAGTCTTAGAGTCTGGGGTCCTCCGCCACTTTGCACCTGCCCTGCTGGGCGGCACCAGGCCCGCGCCCCTCCTCCCTTGGTCCCCACCCTCTCTTCTCCAGCGTGCGCCTTCGCGAGAAGTGCGCGCAAGTGTGGCGAGTGAGGCCGCGGGTACCCAGAGTGCGGGGCCGGTGCGGAGTGGCTGCGTGGGCGCTGCCCAGGAGTCGGAGCACCGAGTGTGCGTGGGCACAACCGGCGCGTGTGCCTGCCACGGGTCTGCGCTAGGCGGGGGCGCAGCAAGTGCACCCGAGAGTGCGGAGAAGAGCGCACGGGCGGCGGTGAGGGCGAGGGTGTTGTGCCGCGGAGGCAGGCTGGTTGCAGGGAGGAAGGATGCGTGCGGGTAACTTTTTGCCCGCCCGGGAAGTACCGGTAGTCGCACACGAAGGGGCTACCTCGGGCCGCAGGGCGACCGGCGAGCCAGTTGGTTCCTCAGCCCTGTGCTCAGCAGGTGACACATGGGCCCAGATGCAGGGCACACACACTGAGTCTGCGTTGTAGGTGAGGGACTCAGGCTCAGCATACTTGTCTCCTTTCTCTTTTTCTGTCTCTCTCTGGCAAGGACATGAATCCTAAGCATCATCTCCAGAAGCAGCTTATCTGGGTCAAATCCCAGCTCCATCACTCACGAACTCTGGTGCCTTAAGCACGTTTCTCCAGCCTCAGTATCTCAGTTTCTGTATTCCGGCACGGGTAGGGCTGAGACAGGGAGTTCTCCATTTCTCTGGCTTCTGCCGGGCCCTGGCAGCGTCCTGCCCCCAGCCTCGTCGCCCGTTCCCCAGCACCCATAGTCGTGTAAACAACTCCCCTTCTCCAGCTCTCGGCTCCTCGCCCCCCTCCCCCGGGCGGCCCCTTCAGCTCAGTGAAATCGATGGGGCTGGGGACAGGGGTTAGGAGAGGGGGGATCCCGCAGCCGCGGGGTCCCTGTTAGCTCCCCAACCTTTGATCTCTCCCTCCCCCACCCCGCCGCCTCGGCTGAGGGCTCCAGGGGCCCTGGGTATTTTTAGCGTTGTGACCTGGGCGGCAGCTCTAAGAGCCTTTCCCAGGAATCGCGTCAGCGCCTCCCTCCTCCATGGCCAGCCCGTGGCCACAGCGTCTCCCGCACTTCCTTGGTCCTGCCCGGCCTGTTTGAGCTTGGGGTCCCTCGGGGTTTGCCTCTGCGCCTGTGGAGCTGGCCAAGGTCTGGAACTCCTCCAGTCCAGATGCGCGGCAGGATGCCGGTGGGGAAGACAGGATGAGGGTCTGGTCTTTTAGCTTGAAACTTCCCTGCCTCCTCCCATGACCGGCTCAGAGCAGAATGCGAGCGAGCCGGAGTGTGCACAAGGGGCACTGGAGCTCCGGTGTTCTTTGAAGCTCTCAGGCGGTGAGGGGGCCTGGTTTGAATTGGACCCAGGACCCACCCTTCTGATTGGTACTCAGTGACTAGTAGGGAGATGACTGCGAGATGTGACAGGGGAGCGAAAATACAGAGCTGCTGGAGTTGGGGGGAAAGATGGTGGTCCCCTAAAGAGCTTACCTTCAGCGTGTCTCCTGTCTGAGTCAGGTAGGAAGATTATGCCACTTCAGATGGGGATACTGAGGCTACAGAGATGATTTCTTTAGGGGCCAAGCCACGTCTGGAAGGCAGATCTGTGACTTCAGAGCAAGGGTTTGGAGGTGGTGATAATGGCGTATGTGTTAGGGGAGGCAGATGTCAGTCTCCATCTGGGTTCTGAAGGATGGGCAGAACTGGAGTTGCAGTACTGTAGGAAGAAGGTCCCCACCCGAAAATCTCAATCCTGTCCTGTTTGCTGGCCTTGTTAGGAGAGCTGGGTCCGTTCAGTGGAGAAAGCACCTCTCATGTGGACTGGCCCAGCCCAGCCACTCTAGAAGGGGCTGGTACTGAGAGTTGGCCCCTGGCTGTGTTCCCTGCACATAGAGGATCTCTTTCGCTGTGCCTGGAACTGGCATCCCCTTTGTGGAGTTGGGCTGGCCTCGCCTCTGTGTGAGGCCTGCAGTCTACAATGGGCTTGGCTTGAAGGAAGGAGAAGCAGGTAGCCAAGGCCAGAGGTGCCAAACTGGCACCAGAGACCCCACTGCAGGGATGCTGGTGGCAGTGGGGCACCCGAAGCCCAGGCTCCTGCTGTCACCTCCCTCCACTTCTCAGCTGTTCTTGTCTTGCTCCTTTGTCCTCCAGGAGGTGACATGGACGCGAATCCTCGGGCAGCCCTGGAGCGCCAGCAGCTCCGCCTTCGTGAACGGCAGAAGTTCTTTGAAGACATTTTACAGCCAGAGACAGAGTTTGTCTTCCCTCTCTCCCACCTGCACCTTGAGTCACAGAGACGTAAGTCCCATGCCCTGAGGAGGAGGACTGAGTAGGGTGGGAAGGATGTCTTACAGGTTCTGAATCTTGGGTCCCCCTCCCCTCTTGTTTTCTTGGTCTTCTAAACTTCTGAGTCTACACACACTGAATCCAGATAAGGTGGGGAAGGGACCACTGGCTGTCCTCTTGTCTCTGCCCACGCCCTCTGACTTGTCTGCATCTCCATCTGCAGCCCCCATAGGTAGTATCTCATCCATGGAGGTGAACGTGGACACGCTGGAGCAAGTAGAATTTATCGACCTTGGGGATCAGGATGGAGCAGATGTGTTCTTGCCTTGCGAAGATCCTCCACCAACGCCCCAGACATCTGGTATGCCCTGGGCCTTGGGGACTTGAGCACCAGGCAGCCGGAGCAGACATCAGGGCTCCGGAGGGTGGCCGCGTGGCTGGGCTGGGGAAGTGTACAAGCGGGGCTGGAAGTGGGTGTTTCCGCCAGCAAAACAACTGCTGTTCTGATTTTAGAGAAGTTGACCCTGAGGGGAAGCTGAGTTACAGATCCCCAATCCAAAACTCGGAATGCTCAACAGCCTCCTTAGCCTCTTGAGTTTTATATCTGTGGAATTGATGTAATCAATTATGTAATTAAAGTAATGTAAAATATTTTAATGTTAGACAACTTTTAAGTGGTTTTAGTCATCATAATATTAATATTGAGCACTTTCCTAGTTTCTCAATACTATGCTAATGTAGTTTACCTATATTATCTGCCTTTACTATGACCCATCAGGGCAAATGACATTATTCCCATTTTACACAAAAGGAAGGTAGTCTCAGAGAAGTGAAGTCACACAGCCAGAAAGCAGAAGCCCTGGGATTCAAATCACTTCTGCCTGACCTCAAAGCCTGTATGCTTAATTGTGAGATTGAGACCTCTTCTAACAGTCACTATTTATTGATGGCCTATTGTGTCAGACATTTTATAAGCATTTTTAGATTTTATCCTCGGGGCTGGCAAGTGGTGTGGTGGCTAAGGGTGCTGGACTCCCACAGAGTCAACCACGGTTCAAGTCCTCGACCTGGTGGCTTGCTTTCTCACTTTCCATCTCTCTCACTCTCTCTCATTCCGTACCTCTTTGGCCAAATTAAAATAAATAAATTAAATTATAAAAAAATATTTTATCCTCAAAACTCTTCAGGAATGTAGGTATCCCTTTTTTTTACAGAGGAGGAACAAAGTCCTTGAGAGGGAAAACGACTTGCCCAAAGCTCCTCTGTGGCAAGTAAGTGATATAGGTAGACTTTGAACTCCTGCATCGGCTAACCTGAGTAGAGCCTGGATGTGGCCTAGTGATGTAGAAGGGGCTAGGAGTCAGGAAGTCTTACTCCTGGCTCTTTGCTAGACTAGCCAAGTGACGTAGGACAAGTCCTGCTACCTTCTCCTGGCCAGATCATCTCGAAGAGTGCGCTGAAGCCTTGTTTATGACTCTGATGTGCTCTTCTCTCTGGGCAGGAGTGGATGACCATCCAGAGGAGCTGAGCTTGCCGGTGCCCACATCAGACAGGACCACATCCCGGACCTCGTCCTCGTCCTCTGACTCCTCCACCAACCTGCACAGCCCAAATCCGAGTGATGGTGGAGCTGACACACCCTTGGCACAGTCCGATGAGGAGGAGGATGGGGGCGATGGAGGGGCAGAGTCCAGAACCTGCAGCTAGCAGTGGGCCCTGCCTACAGACTGATGTTGGCCATTCTCCCCTGAGACCCTAGGTGCAGCCAGAGCCCTTTGGAAGGCGGCCAGACTCCACTTGCAGCAGGCATCAGAGGAAGGGAAGGATGGTGGGATGGCGTACCTCTCCGTGAACTAACCCCCCCTGCTTTACTGCTAACTTTTCCTGCTGCAACCCTCCTACGAGTTTTTGGCTTATCCCTGAGGTAGGACTTGCAAGTGAGGAGCTGGAAGATGAGGTAGGACAAGATACACAGCTTTTCTTACTATTCTTCCCTCCCCTAAGCTATCCTGTAGTCTTCTAATAGAGTCTCCTAAAGTGGTGTCTCTAAATGGACGTGAGCTCCTTAGCACTCCGAGTGAGGTGGTACTTCTTACAGCCATCCTGCCTCCTGACATCCTTTTTGGAACAGGGCATGGTATAAATAATAAACAAATACTATATCAACCATCTCACTTCGTTTTTCACATTACAGAGATATCAAACACACCATGTCTTCAGCTCTCTAATCAGTGCCAAATCTCCATCATTCATGTGCTCCATTTATTCAAGAACTATGTACTGAAACCTGTGCTGGGCGTTTGCAGTAGTTTTGAGCGAGACAGGCTGTATCCTGCCTTCATGGTGTTTACGTTTGTGGCGGAGAAAAGCAAGTAAACACCACGGTTCACAGTGTGGTAAGTCACTTACTACTCTGGTACCAGGACAAGGCAGGGGGGCATCTTAGCCCAGCTTGTAGGGTCGTTGAAGGGCTGATTTTTATCCTGAACCTGAAGGGCGATTAGGATGGGGTTGGAAGAGAGTAATCCAGGCAGAAAGACAGCTTGGGAAGACTTTGAATGAGAAGAACATAGCCTTGAGGAACTGAAAATGTTCAGTTTGACTGAATTGTTGGATTTGAGAAAGAAAGGAAGCAGAGGTAAGACTGACAAGGGGCAGATTATAAAATATTTTGAGGTCTGTGATAGGTTTCCACTTGACTGGCACTAACAGGTTATCACTTATGGTACAAATTTATTTCCTCATATAAAAAATATTTAAAGTACAGGGCTGAATGGAAGCTCATAGTCATTGAGTACTTGAGTCCTTTTGAGCTTTATCTTTTAAAACATATTTATTATTATTTTAATTTGACCAGAGACAGAGAGAGAGAATAAGAAAGCAAGCTGCCAGGTCCAGGACTCGAACCACAGTTGGCCATGTGGAAGTCCAGCACCTTAGCCACTATGCCACCTGCTAGTCCTCTTTTTGGGCTTTTGCTCAGTCACCCAAAGCACATGGCTTGCATTCTCATTGATCCTTCATGTCTAAGACAGCAATCATGCCTCAGCCTTCATGACCTTGAAACTGGCAGAAAGCAAGAGAAGAAATGGGGGATGGTCGAAGAAGACACAGCCAGATGTCTGTTCCCACTTTAAGAAGCATTTTTGGAAGTTCTAGTTAATAGCATCTACTTGCATCTCATTGGCCGGAACTTGGCAACACGGGAAATGTTTCATTTATAGATTCCTTTTTTTTTTTTTTTTTTTTTTTTGCCAGAGTGCACGTGTGCACGCATGAGAGAATGAGAGAAAAAGCATCCTCTTAATAAGGCCTGGTCACAGCAATCCTTTTTTTCTTCATTTCTTCATCCTGTCCAGATCCTGGGCACACACGTACATGTGTGTGTTTTTCTTTTTTTTTTTTTTTTAAGAGTGAGATTTTTGCTATAGGGCATGGGTGCTTGCTAGAGAGGCAGAGATAGAAAGTGAGAAATCACCCTCAGGGGACATGGCCATGCCCCAATCCTTTCTCCTCCAGACTCCTCTTGGGATTTTGGGCACATGCACCCGGTGTGAGTTTTAAGCCACCAGGTCCAGGACTCGAATAGCGGTTAAGTATATTGGAGTTACCATTATGCCATCTGCTGGTCCCCATGCTTGTGTTTTTCAAGACGCTATGGCTGGGATTTGAACCTTGGTCAGCCATGTGGGGTCCAAGTGTTTGAGCACAGCCTTTAACTGCTATACTCTAGGACCAGCCTGCATTTATGGACGTTTCATAGACACCGGGCCATGGCATTATCTAGAAGAAAGGAAATTCTGGCCTTTGGAAAGACAATAATGCTTTCAGGTCACTGAAGGTCACCATTGCATCTGATTTCTGTACTATCTCTCAGACTTCTCAGAAGCACTTTGGCTTCTGGGGAGGCTGGCCTCATCCTTCAGTAGGACATGCTACTGTCTTGATAGAATTAGGGTTTTGTTACTAATGAACAAGAGGATAGTAGTCACGCGGTAGGTAACTAGCAGTTTACATATCAGAGGCCATGTTAAGAGTTTGGAGCCAGCAGGTGGCATGGTAGTTAAGATGCTGGATCCCATGTGGGTAATTTGGCAGTTCAGATCCCAGCCCCATTGGCTTGAAACTTGTGCCAGGTGCGTGTGTGCATGTGCTCCAAATCCCAAGAGGAGACTGGAGAAGAAAGGATTGTGCATGGCCATCTCCCTTGGGGGGTGATTTCCCACTGTCACTCTTTATCTCTCTCTGTCTCTATCCAGTGAGCGCATCTGCCTTAAGCAAAAATCTAAAAAAAAAAGTTTGAACTTTACTAGAATTAGTGAAACATTAAGGTGATTGAATTGCATGTTAAAAAGCTAGTTCTGGGAACCAGCAGTTAGCGTAATGGCTATGTCGCGGGATTCCCACGTAGTCGACCGCGGTTCGTGTCCCGGACCCGGTGGCTTAAAACTCACGCGGGGCGCGTGTGCGTGCGTGCCCAAGATCCCGAGAGGAGAATGGAGGAGAAGGGATTGCGGCGTGACCATCCCCCCTGGGGGGTGATTTCTCGCTTTCTGTCTCTATGTCTCTCTCTGTCTGTCTGGCGAGCGCACGCGCCCTACAGTGAAAATCTCTCCAAAAAAAAAAAAAAAAAAGCTAGTTCTGGCTGTAGTGAAAGCGTACACAGAGGACAGACTCAGGGTAGATACCTATCACAGTGATCTGCCCTGCAGGTAATGGTGGCCACAAGACAGTGGTGATGATTGGTTTAGTCGGGTCGAGGCTGGGTATAAACAAACGACAGTATCCATCCAGTAAATCGGAAATGTTGGGATTTCACGTGTGCAGGACAGTGCAGCCATGTGGATGTAGCTGCTCCCTTGGAGTCTGCAGGCTAGTGGGAGCCTAAAGGTAAAATTGCAGCTTTGACTAATGCCAAGGAAGGCATTGACCTATTTAGAGAGGTGACAGGTTGAGGAAAAGGGATTTGAGATGGGATCTGAATGGCGATCATTAGCAGTGAACCAGGGAAGACTGGCTGGGAGGACACCCGGTGGAGTATGGATCAGAGGGGATCAGACTGGATGCCTGGAAGCCAGAAGATGATTGAACCATCTGGAAAGGTAATGGACTAGGGTGGGTGGAAGTAGAACTGCACCTGCCTAAGCAAGTGGCAGGTGAAGTGGCCTGCCAGGAACCCAAACAGCAGAGACAGGGAGAAAGGCCCCAACGGGCACTGTCAGCAGGATCAGATCTGAGCTTGGTCCCTGAAAGTCATTTTGCCTAGCATCATCACTAAAGAGCCTTTAAGGCAGCTAGCACTAGCTAGGGAGGGCACAGAAGCCCAGACTTGGAGCTAAGAATGGCCCCAGCAGGGGCTAGATGTCCCCTGGGACACCCTGGGGAAAATGGAAGAAAGTAGAAGGAACCAAAAGAGATTAGGAGGCAAATCCCTAAGATTTAAAGGATTTAATGGGTAGGTGTGAGAAAGAAAGGGGTCATGGTTGTCGCCATTGTCTCTACCTCCTACAACAGGATGATTTAGAGGACTCTTCAGCCAAATGGGGAGTGAGGAGAAAACCAGGTTTGGGAAGGTGGTCAGTTTTAGTTTTGGACATGGTGGGTTTGCCTTTGAGATGTCCCAGAAGACATGCTGAATAGGCACCTGGGCATGTGAATGTGGAATTCAGATGAGAGGAGTCAGTGTAGAGGTGGGAAGTGAAGCCATGGATGTGAAGAGCTTGCCCAGGAGAGACTTTTGAATGAAAGGAAAGGTTATGTGATAGAACATGAGCTCATATATCACATAAAAAAAAAAAAATCCACCTTCCTCCATACATTGAACACCAGGGGTCAATGACCTTCAGCTTAAATCCTGAAGCTCTTTGTTCTGTCCAGGCTGAATGACAGGGCTGCTATCTTCCTATCATTCCATTCTGCTTCTCCCCTGCAAGAATTCATTGTTTTGTGTCTGTTTGTTTATTAAGGTTTTTGCCATAGGGCACAGTAAGCTTGTCTGAGAGAGACAGAAAGGGAAAAATGAGAGATCACCCCATGGGGGGGGACTGGCCACACTGCAATCTCTTTTCCAATCTCCTCCTGGGATTTTGGGCATGCAAACACATTAGTCCAGAATGATTTTTAAGCTGCTAGGTCCAGGACTTGAACTGCAATGGGCCATGTGGGAATCCAGCGCCTTGACCCCTGTGCCAGCTGCTGGCCCCAAGCAGGGCATTATAAATGGCTGTTCCTCAGTGCTTTTCCTAGGGCTAGTGAGAAACTTGCATGAGCTCCAGAAAAGAGTATCCATCAGCCTTTCCCAGTAGCTAGGAAGTTTGTGGGATGAATACTTTTGTCCAAAGCCTCTGGGTCCCAGTTGAGATCATTCACTAATCTGGGCCAGGACCCAGTCTCATGGAGTCATTGTGGGTTGCTTATGACTTTGCTGCCCACAGAAGACATGTCCTCTGTCCTCTTGTGCCTTCTCCCTTTATGTGATTTGGAGTAGCAAGTCTGTCCACTGTCTGACTAGCTGAGCCTTCTCCTGGACTGCAGCCCATGGCCCTCAGAGTGCTGCTGTGCCAGCCATTTCAGTTTTGGGGATCACCCCTCTTTCTTCCTGGGTGAATGATGGAAAGCTAGTCTGGCTTGATTGCTGTCAACACGTCAATAAATCTCATAGTATCCTTAGCATACAATGCTAAGATTGTGGGGTTTGGGACCGGCAGCCTGCCTGGGGAGAGGGATCTACAGTACTCTTGAGAAGCAGAATTGTTTGTGAGCCTATGGGGAGCCTTCAGTTTAACTGCTGTGAGCCCCAGCCCTGCCTGGAAAAGTCTAGGGTCAGCTGAGTCCCCACGACCACTTCCTGGTTGGGACAATGACCTCTTCTCCTGCCAAACCACAGGGGCTTGGCTGGCCTTCAGAGCCACCATCTCTGGCTGACTGTTTCTTGAGGCCACACAGTATCCCTGGAGATGGGAAAATGGTTTTGAGCCAACTCTGAGTCAAGGAGTCCAGCTTTCAGTCTTCAAGCCACAGTGTGCCTACTGTCTGCTGCATAAACCTGAAGTAGAGTGGATGTCCTGACAGACGCTGGACAAGAGGGAAGAGGACAAACACATATCTGTGGAAGAAATAGGAGGGACTAGAGCTCAGCAAGAGTCCCTGGGAGGCTCATACTGTACACGTTCCCAGGAGTGCATACAACTTGATCCTCTGAAGTGTGGCAGCATGGGGCCAAGATAGAACTGTTATGATGTCTTACATGTTTGTTCATTTATTGCAAAGTTACTGAGCACCTGCTATGTGCTTGCTACCTTGCTTAGATAACACAAAGATCAGGGTGACCAAGAGCACCCCTAGGAGCAAATACGGCTGCAGATGGTAAAAATCCAGGGTCATGAGGGCTGTAGCACAAGTGCGCAAAGCACTGTAGAGAGGGGGAAGGTAAATCTTCACTGGAGTTGGCTGAGTCTTGACTGATAGGGACAATTTCAAAAGGAAACAGAAGCTTATACATAGAAAATAATGAAAAATGGCAGCTACCTTTTTTTTTTTTTAAGAATTACTTATTTAATTTTATTTATTATTATTATCATCATTCGCTATAGTCACCAGAGAGACACACAAAGCGTGAGAGAGAGAGTGTGAGAAAGGAAGCCAGCACGTGTGGGACTTGAACTGCAGTCGGCCGTGGGGAAGTCTGATGCCTTTACCACTACACAGCTAGCTTTTTAATAATTATTATTTTGAAGTTGATAGTGTAGATTATTCCCGGCTCTATCACTCACTATGATCTTAGGAAATTATCTCAGTTTCTATACTTCAGTTTTTTCATCTGTAAAATGGAGACAGTAGTACCTACTTGATAGAGCCGTTTGAGTAGATATTATTGTTAAGTGCTTAACTGCATTCGAGATTCTACATGCACATAATTTCTAATCCTAAAAACAATCCTGAAAGTAGGTTTCTTTCACCTGGGTTGTTCATGATCAAATGGATTAAAGGCTGGTCTGGGGATTTGAACTCATGTCTGACATCTACGCTCATGACCTTCTTACTGTTCCATGTCAAATAGGACAGGAAAACTGGCAGTGGGTGTAGAATGAGGACATAATGAGATTAAAGACTTCTTGACATTGCATTTCTGATCCATGAGTATATAAGTTCAAAAAGTTCATGGAAAATGAAATTAATACCTACAACTAAAAAATAGAATTTTTTAAAGGGATATCTTTGCTGTAGAACACATGTACTCACTGGGGAGACAGAGACAGAACACAAGAAATCACCCCCCAGGGTGAGGTGGCCTTGCCGCAATCCCTTCTCCATTCTCTTCTTGGGATTTTGGGCACACATGCCTGGCATGAGTTTTAAGCTGCCAGGTCTGGGACTTGAGCCATGGTTGACTATGTGAGAATCCAGTAACATAACCATTATGCCACCTGCTGGTCCCCCAAAATATAAATTTTATTTCTTACTATCAGGTTCTAGACACTTTTATAAGTGGTGATACTAGCTATTAAGTATATCTAAAAGAATTAAGGGTCTTGGGAATTTAATTGTGTTAGTGCAATCCATTTCTATTATTAACTGAAGAAAATGGATGCCCTTTAAGGATTTTTTTTTTTTTTTTTTTTTGAGATTAGGAAATAAGGAAAAGTCAGAAGGAGCCAAATCATGGCTGAACATAATGCTTAATGGTTCCCATTGAAATGGTCACAGAATCGCCCTAATTCGAAGAGAGGAATGAGCAGGAGCATTGCCACAGTGGAGGAACACTCTGGTGAAGCTTTCTGGGTGTTTTTATTTTATTTAATTGCCAGAGAGTGGGTACACTCTCCAGAGAAAGACAGGGAGAAAAGCACCCTCAAGTAGGGCATGTTCAGGCTGTAGTCCTTTCTCCACTTCTTCATCCTATATGGATTTGGGGCACGGTCACTTATGTGCTCAGTGTGTTTTTCAAGCCACCAGGGCAGGGATTCACACCGTGGTCAGCCATGTGGGATCTGACTCGCTTAACTGCAAGACTACGGATCTGGCCGTTCCTGGGTGTTTTTCTGCTAAAGCTTTGGCTAACTCTTAAACTCCCTCATAATAAGCAGATGTTGTGGACATTGGCACTCTGTAAAGTCAAAAAGCAAGATACATTGTGCATCCCCCAAAACTGCTGCCATGACCCTTGATCTTCACCTGTCTGCTTTTGGTTTGACTGGGCCACTGCTGTCTCTTGGTAGGCATTGCTTTGATTGTGCTCTGCCATCAGGCTAATGCTGCTAAAGCCACATGTCATCTGCTGTTAGAATTCTTTGAAGAAATGCTCTTGATCCCACTTGTTCAAAAATTTCCTTGACGTCTCTACTCTCTTTCTGCAACTAATCTGGGTGTAACAGTTTGGCACCCACTGAGTCCAAAGTTTTCTCAACCTTAGTTTTTCAGAGTTGTGTAAGCAAGACCAGCTAAATTGTTTGTGGTGTTGGCTATTGTTTCTGCTGTTAAGCATAGGTCCTCTTCATTGAGGACACAAACGAGGTTAATTTTTTCCTTGCAAATCTATGTGGATGGATCTGCTGCCTCAACAGCTACTCATCCCTTCTTCCAATGAGCTATCCATTTGTAAATTGCCAATTTCTTTGGAGAATTGTCCTTGTAAACTTTTTGCGATGCGTCAGTAATTTCACCTTTCTTCCAGTCAAGCTGCCCCATAAATTTGATGTTTGTTCTTGCTTCAATTTGAACAAAATTCACGTTGCTTTGGTAGAGGCTCTTTTCAAATTGCTGTTTTATCTTCGGTGGCTCTGTCTGGAGTCTGTTCAGACATGTTATAACAAATTAGTCCAAGTTTATTTTAGTGCAACAATTTCTTGAAAGACATGCATAATTTTCTCAGAATATTCATTTCCATGAATTTTTTGAAGACACCCTTCTCTCCCAATATCTTGGCAGATCTGCCTGACACAAAATTTGGGTCTTCATGCAAGTATGGTTATGAGCTTTACCATTCATGAAATTTTTCATGAATGTGTTCCCTATAGGGCAGATGAAAAAAAACATAGCAGGAATTCAACACTGAAACTCCTACAACCTAATAATAATAAAAAGGCAATTAGGCCAGTACAAAAAGGTGTGTGTGTGGGGGTTTGCATGGGCACACGATATTTTAAAAGAACTTTCAAAAAGAAAATATGTTGGGACCAGCAGTTAGTGTAATGGCTATGTCGCTGGACTCCCACGTAGTCGACCACAGTTTGCGTCCCAGACCCGGTGGCTTAAAACTCATGCCGGGCACGTGTGCGTGCATGCCCAAGATCCCGAGAGGAGAATGGAGCAGAAGGGATTGCAGTGTGGCCATCCCCCCTGGGGGGTGATTTCTTGCTTTCTGTCTCTCTGTCTCTCTCTGTTTTTCTGGCGAGCACACGCGCCCTATAGCAAAAACCTCTAAAAAAAAAAAAAAGGAAAATATGTTGAGACCAGCAGTTAGCATAATGGCTATGTCACTGAACTCCCATGTAGTCAACCATGGTTCAAGTCGGTTGGCTTAAACTCACGCCAGGCGCATGTGCGTGCGTGCCCAAGATCCCAAGAGGAGAATGGAGAAGGGATTGTGGCATGGCCATCCCCCCTGGGAGTTGATTTATCGCTTTCTGTCTCTCTGTCTCTGTCTTTCTGGCGAGTGCACACGCCCTATAGCAAAAACCTCTCCACCAAAAAAAAAAAAAAAGGAAATATGTTAACAGCTAATAAGCACATTAACAGATGCTCAACATCATTAGTTACCAAGGAAATGCAAGTCAAAACTACAGTGAGATATCACTGCATACACCCAAGTAACTGAAATGAAAAAGTCCAAAACATTTTTACCAGGATGTGGAGCAACTAGAATTCTCATATATTGTTGGTGGAAGCACAAAATAATACATTTTAGAGGACATTACAGTTCCTTATAAAATAGAATACATATATACTCTTCAACCCAGTGATTCCACTCCAAAATATTCGGCCAGTGAATGCGATAAATAAGTCTACAAAGTAACTTGCACAGAAAGCAGCCTTGTTCATAATAATCAAAAACCTACAGGATATCCGGCGCCCATCAACAGAAGAGTAAATAAACTATGGTATATGCATATGATATAATATTATGCCTCAAAAAGAAAATGCTGATGCAAGCAAGAACATGGATGGGTCCTCTGAAACATTCTTCCCTTGAAAGGAACTTTACACAAAAATTATACATACTATGTGATTATTTCATTTACATTTATATTTAGCTCTAGAACAGATGAAAGGAGAAAAATATCCTAGCAGTGGTTGCCTCTGGAAGGTGATGTGGGGGTGGGGACTGACTGGGAAGGGGTATTAGCTAACTTTGTGAGGTTTTAGGGATGTTCTGTAAATATAACAGGTAAATTTTTCTGTTTAGTTGAACATTTTCATAATAAAAGGGTCAGTTCTTTGGGGTTTTGCAGGAAAGCTCTATCACCAGAGCAGGTGGCTACGTTTAAGAACCAGCAAACGGAGACATCATAAGCTGGGGGAGGCAAGGGCCCGGCCTTGCGACCTGGCAAAAATAATTCACTTTTCCAAGTCTGTTCGCTCAATCAGCTACGAACTGGGTAAAAGGGCAGTGGCGGCGCTCCGTATTTTCAATCACTTTTGGTGGATGCAAACACCTGGAAGCGGGTGGCTCCTCAAGCCACCTGCCCATCCGGTGACCCTACCACTCCTTTCATGCCCTCTTGGCGCCCCCTTAGACCCGGGGTCCCTAAAGCATATCACCACCCCCGGCTCGGTTTCCGCGAGGGCACCGGAAGTCACTTATCGTACGCGCTTCCTATTGGGCGGCAGCCTTCCGCGGGGGCGGTCACTACGAGGCGGCGGAAGCGGCCGCAGGCATGGCGGCGGCTATGCCGCTCGCTGTGCTTGTGCTGCTGCTCCTGGGGCTAGGTGGCTGGGGCTTGGCAGAGCCCCCACGCGACAGCCTGCGGGAGGAGCTCGTCATCACCCCCCTGCCTTCCGGGGACGTGGCCGCCACATTCCAGTTCCGGACGCGCTGGGATTCCGAGCTACAGCGGGAAGGAGGTGAGAGCCCAAGACCTGATTGGAGAGATTCCTGTGGCACCTACTGCGCGCTGGGTGGAGGCAAGCCTTGGGGGTGGGGCCTGGTCCGGGTGTGAGTCTGTAAGAGGTGGAGGTGGAGTCATCACTCACCTGCTCCTTCTTCCTCAGTATCTCATTACAGGCTGTTTCCCAAAGCCCTGGGGCAACTGATCTCCAAGTACTCCCTAAGGGAGCTGCACCTGTCATTCACGCAAGGCTTTTGGAGGACCCGGTACTGGGGGCCCCCCTTCCTGCAGGCACCATCAGGTGCAGAACTCTGGGTCTGGTTCCAAGACACCGTTGCTGAGTGAGTGCCCATCCTGGGCCTTGTTGTAGGCCGTGGAGGGAGTGTGGGAGGGAGAGGTGTCATGAATCCATCCAGCTGGTATTGGAAGTAAGTGAAGTTACCACTGATACATCTTTACCTTTGATGTATAAACTTTCTTCTCTTAATACCTCCAGGCCTGAGGTGGCACACGCGTACCTCTACAGAGGCAGATAAATGACTGGTGTTTATTTGGGTATAAGTCAGTAGAAAATTGGCAAACTGGATAACCTCTTAATAGGCGTTCTTTGATACTTTTTAAAAGTGATACTAAGTAACCACGAAGGCCAAACAACATATCTGTGGGCCACGGTTGGCCTCCAGGTACTCCATCTCTGCATTAGAGGAATTGCTTTCTCTTTTTCAGAGGGACAACTCTAGCAACTGCTTTTGTGTTAAAATCTATTTCTGAGTGGCTGTTGTATCTATCCCTATATAGAGTAGAACTTTTTTTTTTTAAAGAGAGATTTTTGTGATAGAGGGCACTTGCTTGCTGGAGATACAGAAAGTGAGAAATCAACCCCTGGGAGGATGGCCACTCTACTATCCCTTCTCCTCCATTTTCCTCTTGGGATTTTGGATGCAGATGCACTTACACCCGGGTCTGGTACTTGAACCATGGTTGACTACATGGGAGTGCAGCGTCATAATCATTATGCCAGCTGCTGGTCCCAAGTAGAACCTTTTTATAAAAAGGTTGCAAACATGTCTACATGGGCCACACAGGTGATGTCCATGAGTAAAGCTGTAAAAACACTGATAGAGGCACAGGAATGAGAATAGGTCTGATTTCCTCTAAGTCCCACAATGAGACATCAATAGTGCAGGTATGGTAACAAATCTGGGGGCAATAATAGGGAGTGGTAGGGACTGTGACAGGCTAGAGAGCTTAGCCAGCAGTTAAAAGAGGATGGCTACTGCTCAGCCCCTATGGAATGTATGCAGATAGAGACCTAATATGGCCACACTCTTACATTTCTATTTTTTTAATTTTTAATTTTTTTTTTAATTTTTAATTTTTTTTTTTTTTTTTTTTGCCATAGAGTATGTGTGTTCACCAGAGAGAGGCACAGACACAGAGAAAGAAAGTGAGAAATTATGCCCCCTCAGGGGAGATGGCCACTCTGCAGTTTCTTCTCCTTCATTCTCCTCTGAAGATTTTGGGCATACGTGTACACATGCCTGGCGTGATTTTCAAGCCACCACGTCCAGGACTTGAACTGCGGTCAGCCATGTGGGAGTCCAGTGCCTTAACCACTACATTACCTAGTGGTCCCCGGGCTCTTATATTTCAAGAGACATTAGAAATCTGTAAGTTAATGTGGAAGTGGCAAATGTCAATGTCAGTAAGTAAAGAGAAACATTTTGAGGTGCTAAATATAGCCAGTCAGTGTCGTGTACCCTGCATGGAACATGGTCATGGTCTGGGAAGAGCTCTCAGGGTCAAGTTAGTGATCCAGGAGCCTTAAGGATGGGAGCGATGGAAAAGCTCCAAATCAGTACTAAATGGGGGTGAACAGTGACCCCCACACATGCTTGCCAAGGCTCTTTCCTTGCCTCAGCTCTGGCTCCCTTGCTTTTTTCCCCGTCTGGACATAATTGCCACTAATATGGAGCTGATGTTCACCATTTTAATGCCCATGGGGATTTATGCTTTGTATTCTTTTTTCTTTTTTTAAAGAATCATTTTATCTATCTTTATTTATTTTATTTATTTTTTTAAATTCGACCAGAGAGGGACAAAGAGAGAGAGAGAAAGCGAGAAAACAAGCTGCCAGGTCCGGAACTCAAACTGCTGTCAGCCATGTAGGTGTCCAGTGCCCTTAACCACCACACCACCTGCTGGCGCCATATGCTTTGTATTCTTAATATACAGAGCAAATTTCTTGTGACACTTCTTTAGGAAAAGAACTTCTCATTTAATTTGATGTTATCGTGGGGTCCTGAGTACTTGTGTTCGACCAGAGAGGGACAAAGAGAGAGAGAGAAAGCGAGAAAACAAGCTGCCAGGTCCGGAACTCAAACTGCTGTCAGCCATGTAGGTGTCCAGTGCCCTTAACCACCACACCACCTGCTGGCGCCATATGCTTTGTATTCTTAATATACAGAGCAAATTTCTTGTGACACTTCTTTAGGAAAAGAACTTCTCATTTAATTTGATGTTATCGTGGGGTCCTGAGTACTTGTGTTCCCCTGTTCAGTGAGCTTTATTAGACATAAGACCTACCGTGGAGATAGAACTGGCGTGCACTGTCATGCCCAGCATATTGATGGGCAGAGTCCGCTGCCTCGCCCCACTGGGCACACCCAGGAGGATCAGGGAGCTGATCTCCGGGGATAGGATACCATCTACGACGTGTGTGCAGTACACAGACAAGCCAGACCTAGCCCTTGTTCTCAGATTGCGTACAGCCTGGTTGGGGAGGAGAAGTAGGTAGAACAAGATGCTGCTGCCACCCAGCCATCTCCCTGGAGGAACCTAGAGAGATTTGGATGGGCATGACTGGCGGCACAGAGAAGGCTATGCTGAAGGAGTATGTGATGGGCTTCCTGGGGACGGCCAGTGCTGCAGTGGTTAAGGCGCTGGGTCCCACATGGCTGGCTGTGAGTCCTAAATCCAGTGGCTTGAAAAACAGGTGGATGCAAGTGTATGCATGCCCCAAATCCCATTTGGAGAATGAAAGAGGGGATTGTGGTGTGCCTATACCTCCTGGGGGATACTTTCTCATTTCTTTCTCCTCTGTCTCTCTGGCAAGCTCACATTCCCTGTAGCAAATTTAAAAAGAAAGAGAGAAAGGAGGGAGGGTAGGAAGGAAGGAAGGCAGGCTTCCTGGAGGAGAGGACCTGAACTGGAGCTGGACCTTAAAGGTTGGGAGGGAGGAATGGGGCATTCTGAGGCAAGAGGAATCAGCTGAGCAAAGACCTGTGGAAATGAGGGATGTCCACAGCAGAGTAAGGTAGAAGAGGGCGAGTGGTGAGCCCGGGTGTTGGGCTGAGCGGGTAGTGACGGTGTTCCAGCGCCATCATCTGGTTAGTAGCCAGCCTCCTGGCCTTGACATCAACCCTGGATTTCGGTTCTCTTTTCTTCGTCTCAGTTAAGCCAGCAGTGAAGATAAGGATTGGTAAGAGGGTGAATACAGTGTAGTTTAAGGATGGTTAATTCAGTGGTCATTGGCTCTCCTGCAGTGGCTTAGCAGCCAGCTGGGGACTTCGAGGCGGGGAGCAGAGGCAGCCCCAGAACAGCGAGTGGGTTTGTGTCTCCCTCAGCGTGGATAAGTCCTGGAAAGAGCTCAGTAATGTTCTCTCGGGGATCTTCTGTGCCTCTCTCAACTTCATCGACTCCACCAACACAGTCACTCCCACGGCCTCCTTCAAGCCCCTGGGGCTGGCCAATGGTGAGGTAGCCCTTGCGGCCCCTTTCTTGTTCCTGCCCAAATCTTCACCTCCTTTCTCTCAGTCTCCTCCTTGTCCAGCCTGGGCTCAGTCCCAAGTCCCTGGGTGTTTAGGCCTGAGAAAGGCTTCCCAAGACTGCACAGTCTCTGCACTGTCTTCCCCCAGGGGGAGGGGGGCGTCCACCCCCAGCTGGGACTGTTTGGGTGGTGGTGCAGAGTGGTGTGGGGTTTAGGAGGGTCATCGTCACCTGTGGAGTGTGGGTCCTGAGTGTGGGCCCCTAGGACCTGCCCAGACAAACCTGTGTCCCCTCAGACACTGACCACTACTTCCTGCGCTACGCCGTGCTGCCGCGGGAGGTGGTCTGCACCGAGAACCTCACCCCGTGGAAGAAGCTCTTGCCTTGTAGTTCCAAGGTGAGTCCAGAGTGATCTGAGTGTGGGTGGCTGGGTCCGCGAGGGCACAGAGCGGGCAGTTGGTCCTTTGCAGCCTGGCAGCCAGGGTGCGTTTGTGAGAACCTGAGCTCCCTGCGACGCACCATCTCTGACCTTTCATCTCCCCCACCCTCCAGGCTGGCCTCTCTGTGCTGCTGAAGGCAGACCGCTTGTTCCACACCAGCTACCACTCGCAGGCAGTGCACATCCGTCCTGTTTGCAGAGTAGGTCTCAGGGCGTGGGGGCAGTTTCTGTCCAGGGGCTCCGAGGCAGGGTGCAGGTAAAGCATGTAGCCGATTGTCTGACTCAGGCTGTCAGCAGTAAGTGGTAGACATGAAGGTGATTATTTGGGCCATTGGCCATTCACCAAGGAAACCGAGTGGCTGCCTGGTAAGCACGCACTACCTCCTTGTCATGGGAGCATAGTGCTTAAGAACAATCGTGTGGGGCACCGCTGGCAGCTCAGTCACTGGCCAGCTGGCCTGACCGCAAGTGCAGCCCTTTAGTTCCCTGGGCCTGGTTTTCTCATCTGTCACATGAGAGCCGTGGAGAGTCCGCTCCTCAGTTGTGGTGCTTCCTTGGAGTGATATACCCCAAGGTGTTGGCACAGGCTCTGGCACGTGGCCAAGTGCACAGCAGTGAGTGGAAGCAAATGGGGGTGGAAGTTACATAGAGACAAGGGGGGGGATTCAGGGCGGGCACTCTTGAGGCCGTGTGATGCCCCTCACCGCCGCCATTGGCCCTGTGTAGAATGCACGCTGCACCAGCGTCTCCTGGGAGCTGAGACAGACCCTTTCCGTTGTGTTTGATGCCTTCATCACCGGGCAGGGCAAGAAAGGTAAGCTGCCTTGGTGAGTCATCTCCGTCCGCCCCTGCCAGCCCCACTCCATGTGCTTGAACCAGGCCCGGCCCCAGCCCCTGCTCAGCCCTGCTTTCTGCTCCTCAGACTGGTCCCTCTTCCGGATGTTCTCCCGAACCCTCACAGAGCCCTGCCCTCTGGCTTCGGAGAGCCGAGTCTACGTGGATATCACAAACTACAGCCAGGTACTGAGGTCTCTGGTCCCCACCCGCCCTTTCCCAGGCCAGCCTGGCCCTCTGCTTGTTTCTCAGCCCTGCCTGCATGTCCCCAGGACAATGAGACACTGGAGGTGAGCCCACCCCCTACCACCACGTACCAGGACGTCATTCTGGGTACCCGGAAGACCTACGCCGTCTACGACTTGCTTGACACGGCCATGGTCAACAATTCTCGCAACCTCAATCTCCAGTTCAAGTGGAAGAAACCCCCAGAGAATGGTGAGTGGGTGAGTAGGTGAGTAGTAGGTGGGCCCTCGGGGAACGACTCATGGTCCTGAGTCTTCTCTGTGAGGTCACAGGGCTGTGTATAGACTCAGGTCTCCGGAAACATATGCTCCTAGTTCCTACCCCAGCTCTTCCAGCCCAGTGACGGTGGACAGGTTCCTGACCCCTCTGAGCCTTTGCGTCCACATCTGAAAAACAGGGACAGTAATGGCTAGTGGGTCCAATGAGGTAATTGACATAAAGCCTGGAGTTAACTTGCGATTTGCTTAATTGACCAAAAAATTAGGGATCCCTGCTCTGCACCAGGCAAAGTGGTGGTTTAAGACAGAGGGCACCATGTTCAAGGCATGAAGTGTCTGTTAGTTGAAGCAGGTGTCGGTTTGTTAATTACGTCTGTGCTCAGTGGTGCTGGGGAAAGGGCACAGTACCCTGAGGGTGTTGGGCACAGTGTTCCGCTCACACACGCTGGGAAACGGTGGGACTCCTGTTGTCATCATTGCTTGTGGGCCGGAGCACAGGGTTCCTAGTTCTCACAGCTTCCCCCCCCTGCCGCTGGCAGGCGGTCTGTGGTGCAGGGGGTTGGGGTGGGGAGCGGCCCTTCTGCAGGCGCTGTTAGCTGTTGGCTTTTCCCTCCCAGAGGCCCCACCGGTGCCCTTCCTGCACGCGCAGCGGTATGTGAGCGGCTACGGGCTGCAGAAGGGTGAGCTGAGCACGCTGCTGCACAACACCCACCCGTACCGGGCCTTCCCGGTGCTGCTGCTGGACGTGGTGCCCTGGTACCTGCGGCTGTATGTGCACACCCTCACCATCACCTCCAGGGGCAAGGAGAACAAACCAAGTGAGGAGCCGGGCCCGAGCCAACCCCCCACCCCCAGCATTGTCTCTCCAGGTCCCCGGACACTCGTTCTCAGAGGAGATCTGGCGTGCCTGTGAGCTGTGCGGGCAGACAGCGTTGAGAGTGGTTTGCAGAGTGGGACAGGGAGCCTCACTGCCAGATTCAGAAGCAGTTTATGAAGTAGCAGTAATTAAAACACCTGCTGGGGATGGCTTTTCATAGGGTCTGAAGGCAGCAGCTTTCTAGTCCTTTTCACTTACTTTCTTCTTCCCAGGACCTTTGGCACACCCTTGGGTTTTGTGATGATTCATAGACCCTTTTAAAAAAAAATTGTTTATTTAATTGTCATTATTATTATTTTAATTCTTTATGGGGCATGTGTGCTCACCAGAGAGGGACAGGAAGAGTCGGGGGCAGGAAGATAAAGTGAGAATGCTAGCCACCAGGTCCAGGACTTGAACCATGGTTGGCTGTTTATTTCTCTAAGGAGAGAGAAACACTTTACTTTACACTAGAGAGTAAAAACTGAGAGCTTTCTGTTAGGTACCAGGCTTAGCACTGGAGTCTTTCTTTGGCATTTGGGAGATTAATAATAAAGAAAAAGGCTTTTTAGGAAGAAGTTATATCACATTGTGACCAGTCACACTTAAACATCTTTAAATACCCGTTTCCCGTATTTTCAAACCTATCACTAATAGTTTTACTTAGGTTTAGCCCCATTTATACAATCTCCAAAAATCTTGATTTTAGGGATCAGCAGTTAGCTTAATGGCTATGTTGCTGGACTCCCATATAGTCGACCGCAGTTCGAGTCCTGGACCTGGTGGCTTAGACTCACACCAGGTGCATGTGCGTGCGTGCCCAAGATCCCGAGAGGAGAATGGAGGAGAAGGGATTGCTGTGTGGCCATCCCCCCTGGGGGCGTGATTTCTCGCTTTCTGTCTGTCTGTCTCTGTCTTTCTGGCGAGCACACGTGCCCTATAGCAAAAACCTCTCCAAAAAAAAAATCTTGATTTTAAATATCTTACCTATGTGTTCTGTACGTTTCTCCACTTATGTTTTTACCTTTTACTTTAGAAAATTTCAAACACATACCCACATGGAATAGTCTGGTATACTGCCATATTCCACGACTGCCGTGTGGCTTCCGGACCGCAGTTCCGGATGTCACGGCCTGTGCCACTGAGGCTGGGCCTGTGATTGACAGCTAAGCAAGGTGCTCATGTCACACTTCCTTGATATGTACCTTAGGTTTCTTGTGTTACTTATTTCTTATTTCTCTTATGTCTCTTATTAAGGCTTTATTTATTTAGGTTTTTGCCTTAGGGTACATGCGTTTGCTAGAGAGAGAGAGAGAGAGAGAGAGAGAGTGTGAAAGTGAAAAATCACCCACAGGGAGGATGCGCGTGCCGCAGTCCCTTCCCCTCCAGCCTCCTCCTGGGATTTTGGGCACACACGCACACGTGCTCAGCATGATTTTCAAGCTGCCAGGTCTAGGACTTGAACCACGGTCCAGAATGTGGGAGTTCAGCACCTTAACCACCATGCCACCTGCTGGCCCCTAGACTTAGAGCAGTTTTAGGTTTATAGAAAAGTGGAGGGGAGAGAACGGAGTTCCCGGATGCTCCCTCTCCCCCACCCAGTCTCCCTCATTGTTAGCATCTCGCATTCGGTGTGGTACTCTTGTCTCTTCACCTATATGAACCCCCCTTTAAGGCTATTTGGTGGAGAAACTGGGTCATTTGTTGTGTAGAGTGTTCTACATTCTGAATTTGTCCTTGTGCTGGTGTTTTAACATCCTCCATCCCCTGGATTTCTTCTGTATTGGTGGTTAGATTTAGAAACTTGATTAGATTCGTGTCCCATATTTTTGGCAAGAAAAATCCCACGTGGTTCTGTGAACTTCCTCTTGATCGCCCCTTGATTTCTCTTGCTTCTTGGTGTCAGGTGCCCTAGTTTTAGAGATGTGAGCCTGACCCTTCATGCTCTGCACATTCTTGATGGCCTCTCTTGACCTCGTCCTGGGATCGCTGCCCTGGTACACATTCTCCCTCTTCTGAGACCCTGCCCCCTCCCCTGCCTGGTTTCTCTGACCTGAGCCCACCTTTGGGGCACCCAGGTTGAGAGCCCAAGGCAAACCGTAGGGACAGGTGGTATAGGTAGTCTGATCCCCGGAGAGAGGTCTGGGTGACCCTCGCCTGTCCTCAGGTTACATCCACTACCAGCCTGCCCAGGACCGGCTTCAGCCCCACCTCCTGGAGATGCTGATCCAGCTGCCAGCCAACTCCGTCACCAAGGTCTCCATCCAGTTTGAGCAGGCGCTGCTCAAGTGGACAGAGTATACTCCGGACCCCAACCATGGCTTCTACGTCAGGTGGGCTCCCCTCTTCAGGCCACCTCCTGCACTCCTGACCCACCCTCACTGCCACCAACTCTTTGGTGGGAGGGCCAGCGAGGACATGGGCCATCTTCTGCTTTTCTGCAGCCCATCTGTCCTTAGCGCCCTTGTGCCCAGTGTGGTGGCAGCCAAACCAGTGGACTGGGAAGAGAGCCCCCTCTTCAACACCGTGTAAGTGACCACAGCCCTCTGAGGTTATGTCCTCAGCTGTCTGCTGGGCAGTAACAGGTGATCGGGCTCCGGCAGGGTGGTTTGGGGTAGATGTTCCCTATTCCAAAGTTGTATGTCCATTTACTCAATGCTATCAAAATCCTAGTGGTGTATGATATTTGTACAGACTTACAGAATGATTCTAGAGTGTTCTATAGGAATAAACAGAACCACAGTACATACAGCCACATTTACTCGTTGATTCTCTTAACAGATATTTAATGGGGATATTTTATTTATCAAATGCCAGAAACATCAGAGAGCACCAGGCGGACAAGAGTAAACAAAACTCACCCCAGTCCTCCCAATGCCTGCATTCTACCGGGGAGGGAGTACTCTGGTGGGCTGTCCAGGAAGGCTTCTTTGAGGAAGTGGCATTTAGGATAAGACTATACTAAGAAAGAGGCAGCCAGGTGAAGGCAGAGCCCCTTTCCTCCACTTCAAGGAGGATTCTGAGGCTAAGGAATCTCTGAAAACTTACCATGACGGGTCAGCCCAGCGCAGCTCGGGGAGGAGGGCAGGCAGGATGAGGAGGAATGGCCGGTCAGTCTCACCGATTTCTCTGCCCTCAGGTTCCCGGTTTCTGATGGCTCTGGCTACTTCGTGCGGCTGTACACGGAGCCGCTGCTGGTGAGCCTGCCGACGCCGGACTTCAGCATGCCATACAATGTGATCTGCCTCACGTGCACAGTGGTGGCTGTGTGCTATGGCTCCTTCTACAACCTACTCACCAGGACCTTCCACATCGAGGAGCCCAGCACTGGCGGCCTGGCCAAGCGGCTGGCGAACCTCATCCGGCGTGTCCGAGGAGTCCCTCCGCTCTGACACTTGCCTGCTGTGTTTCTGTCTGGGGAGGGACAGCAGTGGTCCCCAGAGCTGAATTTAGAACCAGTTGACTCTGGACCAGGGCAGGGCCTAGTGCCATGCCATGTGGTACAGTGGCCACGAGCCCAGTGTGGCATCGAATTTACAGTTGTTGAAGTAAAAATCCACGTCCCCTGCTGTGGTAGCCACATGTCAAGTGCTCAGCAGCCGGAAGTGGCTAATGGCTGCCGCACCGGATGGCACAAAACCACCTCCATCCTCGCAGGGGTCCTGCTAGGCGGCCCTGGCTAGGTAGGAGGCCGCAGGAAGAGTTTGTACCCCTGTGTGGAGGGTGGGTTTACGGTTATGGAATAAAAAGTGGCTGCTGCTTTGTTAAAGAACATGCCTCATGCCTCTTGTCCATGAGGTCTGCATAGAGCTGGGGACTAGGGCATGCTTGCTGGGTGCTTAAACAGGACTCCTACCCTATCTCCCCAAACAGAATCCTTCCTGTCTCCCCAGCCCTTGCCAGAAAATCCTTCTCATCTGCTCGGCAAGCCCCCATGCTCATCTGATTGTTGTTCCCAGAATGCCCTGGGTTTGGCTGGGAGATGGTCTGTAGTGACTTCTGTGACCATGAAGGTGGGTCATCGTGCCTTGTCATCGGGAGGAGAGCGGAGAGGCGCAGCTCTCTATGGTGTGCACAGGACCACGGGGCAGTGGTGAAAGTGAGCAGGTTCCTGGGGTCCAGACCTTGCCAGTGACCTTGGTTGGGGTACATCCCCGCCTTTGACTTTCTCCCCTCAAAGAAGTATTATTTTTTAAATTTGCCACAGAACATGTGTACTCACCAGAGAGAGACAGTGAAAAAGCAAGTCACCGGGTCCGGGACTCAAACTGCATTTCAGCCGTTTGGGAACCTATCACCTTAACTGTCAGGCCACCTGCTGGCCTCCAGCTTTTGACCTTTTAGCAAGTTTCAAGAGCTTGTGTTGTGACTTCAACAGGCTTTGAAGCCAGACCCGTGGAGTTGAAGTCTGCCCCTGGCCCCCTCCCTTTATCACTCCGGGTTCCTGGAGAACAGGTCCTTAGGGCCTCCCGTGCTCTCATCTGTCTTCCTTTGCACACTCAGGTTCAACTGTGTTAGTTCCTTGTGGTTCCATCCCACCTGCCGGCCCACTCAGTTCTCCCAGCGTGGTTGGTTGGCCTAGAATGCCCTGGTTCCATCAGTCATAAACACCCATCGAACACCTGCTTCACTCTTACTGAACTAGATGAGCTGTTGCTTTCTCCAGAAGTCTTCCCTGACTCTCCAGGTTACTATAGTTGTCTGTCCCTTCTCCTTCAGCTTCCTCGACTTAGGCTATGTGCTCTTTATGGTTTTTCTTTTTGCTAGAGGGTGTATGTACTTACCAGAGAGAGAGAGAGAGAGGAGGCATCTCCTGGGAGGGCGGGGCGGGGGGTGACTACAATCTTCATTCTTGGGATTTAGGGCATGCATACACATACACTGGGAGCATTTTTTAAGCCCCAATTCCAGGACTCCAAAAGAACTGCCTTAATCACCACATCACCTGGCTGGCCCCTGGCTGTCATTCTTGGACTTTCATTAGATTGTGTTTCCTGGAGGCACGGGCTGTCCTTCCTCATGACCTTAACCAGCTCAGGACACGTGTAAGTAGTCAGCAGAAGTGTGAGTGAGTCTTGGCTATTCTGACTTGGGATCTAGGATCTAGGGTTAGGATGGGGGCCCAGGGGTACTCTAGGAGTCCCGAATGGGCAAGTGTTGCCATCTGGAACCCTAGACTACGGCTGTCTGTACGGCCAGCAGAGACAGGCTGCTGAGGCTGCCTCGGTTGGTTTTCCAAGATCCTCAGAACATGCAGGTGACACCTGTGCATGTATGTGTGTAGGAAGGAAGGGCGGAGGCTAGTCTAGTTCAAGATGCTTTTACTTGCAAAGCAGTGAACAAGCCATGAATGAGATGAAATGCAGGTGGGTGAGTGTGCAGCCTGCATAGCGTGGGCTGTCTGCCAAGTCAGAGGGGCATGGAGTTTGCCCTGCTGTCTTTAATATCCTGAGCCCAGAGATGCCCTCCACCACCACGGCACATGTAACCGAGGTGCTGACCACCCCACACGTCTTGAGCTCAGACGTGCTTCCCGAGTTCCAGGTTCACTTACCCAGCTACCTGCTTACCACCCACACTTGGGTGTGAAGTCATTTCAAGTTTAGTAGCTCCCAACTGAACTGATACTCTCCACCCATCCCCCAAACATGCCCACCCATAGTCCTCTCCTGTCCATGGCAACGCCATGTCTTCAGATCCCAACAACCTTCAAGTCATCCGTGAGTCCTCTCTCCCTCATTCAATATGCACTTTACCTTCAAAGCACATTCAAACTCCACCCCTTTCACCATCGCCACTGTAGAGTTGCCAGTGAGGTCTTCCCTAGCCACTCCATTTCGGACTACTGCCAAGCCACAAGCTCATGCCTTTCCTGTGTTCTCTCTGGCTTTGACCACCGTGGAAGCTGCTGTGTTTATTCATTGTTCCTCTTCCCTGTAATGTAAGCTCCACGTGGGCAAGGACTTTGGTCTTTTTAGCTGCAGTGTCTAGAACAATACCTGGCATGTAGTTCGCATTTCAGACATCAGTGAGTGAGTGAATGAATGAATAAATGTTTGAAGACCACGCAGTAATTTCGCTGCTGAGCAAATCTGGTCACCCAGGTCCTGCGCCTGGAGAGTCACTGTGCCCCACCACACCATCTTTCTATACTCCTGCACTCAGAGCTCAGGCGTTTCCTTCATGCTCATCCATGGCATCCCCAAGTGTAAGCCTGGCCATGGCCTTCTCCAGGATGGTGGGCATTGGGCAGTGGCCTGTGGGGAACAGGACTCAAGGCTCAAGCCTCCCAGGGCATAATGAGATGGCTCTCCATTTGCACACGAGAAATTCCCTGTTCCTTGTGAGGGAGTAGGAGATGGGGATTCTGTTCTCTAAGGGCTCTGACATGGAAAAATGAACCAGGCAATTCCATAGAGGATTTAACAGATGTTTAATTTCATTGAAAAAAAATCTTTTTGGAGAGGTTTATGCTATAGGGTGTGTGTGCTCACCAAAAAGATAGAGACAGAGAGATAGAAAGCGAGAAATTACCCCCCAGGGGGGATGGCCACTTTGCAATACCTTCTCCTCCACTCTCCTCTTGGGATCTTTGGCATGCACGTACACCAATCTGGCATGAATTTAATCTAGCAGGTCCC